CCGATCTCCCCCTGATCATTCAGGTCAAACTCAGCATATTTATCTGTGGATTGGAAAAAAAAAACAAGTGAGATTTTAATAGTCCAACAAGAACAAATGAAACAATTCACACACAGCCACCAGCAACATCTTGATAGTGGCAGCATCTAGAGGTCAGGCATATGACAGCTGCGGTTCAGAGGGAAACAACAGAGAGGACATTTGGAAAACCCAGCATTTCTTATCTGAAATGAGGCTTATTTCACAAAGGATGGCTGGCTATATCTGTAAATGAGTTCAGCCAGTACCAGATTTGAATCGGTGTCCTATTTGATTTTGCTAGATTATTCTACTATTTCCTCTCTCTCCCCTCCATCTCTCTCATTCTGTGTTGTTTCATTCTCACAATGAAGCTTCTGTTGGAGTGGACGCATTGAGAGTGTAACGGAGTCACCGTGAGAGGAGGCTGATGGGAAGGAGAGGGTTACAATGGCCCCCTATAAACACAAACGCAGCCTGTTCACCCCTGAGCTGACACCAGCGTGTGAAACAGACAAGAGAGGTTGTCCGTCATAAAGCAACGATGCTGCCTAAACGTAACTCACAATTTTCACTGACTGAATCACTATCTCTCTAAATGGTTTTCTTTTTTTGGATGGTGATCCCTCTTATTATCAGCTGTATTCTTTCCCTCTTTTCATTTCTGTTTTTAGGGCAGTGGTGTACACACACACTGACATTAGTAGGTCAAACACTGCGGCAAGTGCTCATACTGTGTGTGTGTGACTGTGTGTGTGTGAGCGTGCGCTTTCATTTCAACAATGTCAAGAAATCTCAAGGGTTTGGCGCTCCTCCTGTCCCTCTTCTGCTTTTGAATTCTGTCCTTTCCCTCCTTCCATTTCTCACTCTGTTTAACAAGAAATCATTGTAACATTCAGAGCCACTTAACCCCTTTAACCCGATCACTGCCTCTTGATAATGACCCACAAACCCAAGCGTACACACTGAGAATGACTGGTAGTAAATAATTCAGTTAAAAGAGGCCCTTGGGTAAAAGCCAACATGAAACATGTCTCACAGTCAGATTTATTTATTTTTTTTTATAATCTGATGCATTCCTGACTGACACAGAATATTCAAAAAAGGGCAAAAAATAGAGCAGGACTAGATTGGATTATGAAAAGTGGGCAATACACACCAAAATGGAGACGGCAGATGGAGGGTAGGGGTTGAAAAGTAAGAGGAATTCATGTCAGCCAAAAACGAAAGTTGTTTCAGATAAGGAGGATACACCTATTTTAAAAGTTTTGGCCAATACAGATAAAATAACTTGTGAATAAAACTTCACACTCTTTTGTCTAAATACTCTAGCATATTCAAGCAGGTCTAGTTTCAGAGACAGAGCAAGTTATCACATTTTGATAAAAAGATGACAGAAAAACTTTTTTTTTTTTTTACTTAGAACAACACCAATCAATTGTGCACAATAAAACCAAGAATGTGTGTTAAAAGTCAATACTGACTTCATAGGTCATCTTTTGAGAAGCGTTAACATTAGAAAGAGAGGGAGGATGACTTCAGGATTCAGGTGATTGAAGTTTTCATGGGGGTTTTCAAAGAGAAAAGCAAAACCACACTTTAGCTTTGACCAAAAGGCTCAAAGGGCTGCTTGTTTACATTCCAGTTGTCCTTTCCCACATGCACACAAACCGTTATTTCCCTCTCCCACAAGAAGCACATGTCCAAAACCCTTAGCACTAAAACAACAACAAGGGGGCAAGACCAGCACATTCCTGCAAGACCATATGGAGAAAGCAAGTCCATCACACATGCAAACACCCACACAAGCTCTCTTAGCATTCATGTCACAAACATGTGCGCATATAAATGATATGACTGTGTTTAAAATATTTCAACTATCCTTACTTTTTAAAGAATCCAACTTCTCTGGTAAATCCTCTTCATCCCTGTACTTCTGATCTTCCATAAACTCCTGCAAACAAGAGAGAGAAACAGAGAGTTAGCATGATCTCAAACTGGAATAGGCTGGGTGAATGATTATCCCCTCTGTTTGGTTGTGCATGGCAGAAGCCCAGAGAGGGCGAGCAAGCATGTGTCAAGTATCTTAGAGAGCGGATTCTCCGGCGTGTAGTTTTATTCTCTAGAACAGTTTTTGATGCCAAGGACACCCAAATATCCCCTTCCTTGAAAAACACAGACAGCTAGGCTATATATTTTTGTGTACAAAGAGCCATATGATTGGGATTATTTACCCATGTAAATTTTGCACTTTTTAGAGTTGGTAACATGAAATTTGTCGCACTGACCAACAGAAATCTTGGTTTGAAAGTGACTTGTGTGTGAGCTTCATCAGGGCTCGGAAAATCGCTAGCCTGACGTCCCGGGGCTATTGTGTTTTCCAGTCGGGCTACCAAATGTATCACTGCCCTGCCCGATCTTAAATACAAGGGTTCCCGCAAGTCCTTAAAAAGTCTTCAATTTAGTTGTATCAAATTTAAGGCCATAAAAAGTCTTAAATATCTTAAATGGTATAAAAAATGTCAACATTACAGTTTCAAGAGGTCTTACATTTGGGGACAGAAAGACGAGAATTGCGATATGGATTAATGTGATGATTAAACTTCAATTTCATTGAATAAATATGAGCTGCACATTTCAAGTCAAAACGCAGCGTGGGTGTTTCTATACGAATGTATCTCTGAAAAGAACCGACTGTATTCAGAAAAGTTTCGATGGCATTTTCATTTAATCAAACGATTAATCACATCCAAAATAAAAGCAACAAACACGTAGAGACATGTAGAGACTGTGACTTCTAAAAAGATATATATTTATGTTTTAAATTAACATGATAAGTTATGGGTTTGACTCATCCCTATTCTTAAAAATGGTTCAAAAGGAGAAATATAATATGATATAATTCAAATCATTTCGGCCTACCAAAATCTGAAGAGTGTCTGCCCGAAGGGCTACCAGGGATTTTGAAATTTTGCAAGCCCTGTTCATACATCGCTGCATTATTGACAATAGCCAAAAGCCCTTTTTCGCCCAAGAAATTTTGCTAATGTGACTGCACCTTTAGTGTTAGTTAGAGGATAAGCATGCTTCATAAATGCAGGCTGCTAGCTAGTGAAGTGTAGTGTGCTAGCTAGTGTGTTATCGGAAAACTGGACAGTGCATAATAAAAAGACAAACACAACACAGGTCGGTAAATTCTAACGACTTTGTTAATGATCTTTGACAAGACTCTGCATGAGGCCCATAAATCAAAGATCCAAATGTGTGATATGAGACTTCACTATCAGTGAAGTATTAAGAGTAGGGATGTAACGATTAACTGCGAGCCGGTTGAAAATCGATTCAAATATGTGACGATTCAAATCGGTTGAGATGTTAAAAGTGTGTGTGCGTTTCAGGGAGATCACGCAGTGTGTGTGGGTGTGTTCGTGAGTGGATTTTAATTATGGCTGGTGGGAGATGCTGCTGACTAAGTGAAGGTATGTCCTGTAAAAGCGAACAGCATGTGTGTGTGAGGAGCATCAAGCAACCTTGAACAGTTAAGTATGACTCATCATGACGTCTTCTTGTCTCTGCTCTTTCTCTCTAACCCACACATACTGAGAGAGGGAGTAAAAATAAGTTAGATTCACAAAGTGTGATAAAGTCGTGATACAGTTTTAGAATTAGAAGATAAAAACTACATTGTGAGGATCAGCCCTCTCGAGTCATGCTGAGAGATGAAGAGCACGAGTACTACCTTCTACCTCAGCCAAGTCACGACTACACATCAACATTCTTTCACATCAGAACTCGAAACTGTGAATTTGCTTCATTTGATAAGCACAGCGTTTGCTTTTCACTGGCCTGCAGTATCTCACCGTCACCACTGACAGCTCTTATCAGATTATTAAGCATCAACACATCTGACTGACGAAAACACGCAAGAACATGTACATATCATATTACACCCTCAAAATAAAAAGACATTAGCCTTTGTTTTACTGAAAGAAAATTAAGGCTATTTTAGCACTGCTACGATTTTATGCACTATTTTCATAAAAATTAAGCACATTTCCCCTAATTTCGTATTACCATAAGGGACCAACAAAGAAACCATTTTCATTACTGTAAAGCAGAAACATTTTATTTAGTAGTAAGCACATAAGACACCATAATTTATTAAACTGAAAAAAAAAAAAAAACACTGTCCTTAAAGAGAATAATTATAAAGAATAAAATAAATTGCAAATAAAACAAAGGTCAAATGTCTGGATGCATTATGATAACAAGAATTTGGTGGGAAATGTGCATGGAAATAGTGAAAGATCTTTTCATCTGGATTGTGACGCACATTAAACTAAAAAGACGAAAAAAGAAAGAAGTAGGATGGATACTTAGTTCAATCCATCAGTTGTTGAATGGATGGAGGCAAATCAGATCTGAGGTTGATTGTAACATATTATTGACCCTTTTTCTGAGATTCACCTCTACACTATGTGCAGGTAAGCACTGCAGATGTCACTACTAGTAGGCCAGTACATGACCTGATTTTCTCCTTAGTGTTCATGTGACCAAACCAAGCTGTCACTCCCGCCAGCCGCAGTCCACATGAGAGAGAACAGCCGCTGAGACTGCGGCTTAAATGCCACTGCTGCCCACTCCTCAATCTCCCTCTCACATAATGGGTCCATTCATGCTGGATCACAGACACCTGTTTCCCGTCTGAGGCCACAGAGACAGCCGGCTGCGGGGGGACACACTGCCTCTTATCACATCAAAGAAGGGTGATCTTAAATATTAGCTTCAAAATAACACTAGTCAAGAAAAAAAGCCTCTTGGGATTTTCATAAAAGGTCTTTGTTTGAAACGCCCAAGACGAGGTCACCTCCTTTACTTAAATGTTAAGCATGTCATTTTTTTATTTGAAAATACTTTAAAGTGCCCCTATTATGCCATTTTTAAGGTTGCAAATATTGTTTTATGAGTCTCCTAAAACAGGTTTACATGCATGCAAGGTCAAAATACACGTTCGTTTTCTCAAAAAAATAGATTTAATTTGACCTCATTTCTAAATGATTTGTAAACGATGAAACGGTTGAACTGGCTGATCAATGGCAAGAGTCTCGACAAGAGACTGATTCGCAAGCACGACTGGTGCAGGACGTTTCTCAGTGGTAAGTGTCAAGTGTTAACAAGTTTGTGGTAATTATAAGATGTGATAAAACAAATTTACTCTCACAGGGTACTATACAGCGTCTTCTCGACATGATGTTAACCACACGGAAATTTTACTGTTTGTGGTCGCAAGTCGGCGACATAGAACCATAGGCGGAGTTTCACTTTTATGCGTGGGGGGGCACCCACTGGTAGACAAGCCACGAGCACTTTTTTATATGTTCTACATTTCATGCATTTATGTAACATATTCTACATTACAAATAGGCCTACATTTAGAATGAACAATAACTGCTGTATAAAGAGTAAAAAAAAAAAAAAACATAGCCTACCTAATACAGAAAAGCCACCTCTTTTTCCGAATTGCATAGATGACCACTATCTTTCTTTCATCTCTTCTGATAAATTTTCAGTCAAATCATTTTATGTGTGCTAGATCAGAGCCCTGCATTTCAGCCCTGGGCCCGACTTTTTTACGCCCCTCGGGACGGGCTTCGGGACAATTTTCACGTCATAGTTCAGACGCGGGCCGGGTCTCGGGCCTGTTTTAGGCTTCTCCTTATTTTTATATTTTAGACAAATGAACAATAACTGCTGTATAAAGAGTAAAAAAAAAAAAAAACATAGCCTACCTAATACAGAAAAGCCACCTCTTTTTCCGAATTGCATAGATGACCACTATCTTTCTTTCATCTCTTCTGATAAATTTTGAGTGTCAAGAGTGGCTCGACGGTTTAGTGTCCCGCAGCAGTAGCAGCATGTATGCCGTCAGCGCAGCTGAACAGTTCTGCGTTCAAATGCACGCAATAGGCTTAAGTTTGCCGCAAAGCACCGGCAAAAGTAATTACCATAAATGTGTCAGGGGGAAATAGTAAGGAGATATTTTAATTATTTACTAATAAACTAGTGTTTTCTGAGTTGGTGTTGTTGCAAGGATGACGTTGGCGATCCTGACTCGCCATCTTCTCATTAGATGCACCTTTAGAGAGAAGTGCATCTTTATGGATTATGATTATAATGAAAGAGTTTTTGTTTTTGATTTGTTTTATTTCGTTAAAGTCCCCCTGTAGTCAAAGATTTTATCCCTTAAAACTTATCTTTGATCATCAAAATGACATATTTAAATGTTTTTTCTTGTGAAAATAATTTTCTCATGCCTTAAAATAGCTTGAATGTAACTCTACACCCTTGCCTCATTTACTATACGCGGATCTATGAATATGCAAATTAGTCCCACCTCCACTCAGTCACACACCAGCCAGCGCCTCCTGATTACAGCCCGACCGATATGGTTTTTTTGGGGCCGATGCCGATATTAGGGAGTAAAAAAAAGGCAGATACCGATTATATCGGCCGATATTCTTTGTGTATATTATAGTACAGTACCAGTCAAAAGTTTGGACACTTTCCCATTCGTGTGTCCAAACATTTGACTGGTACTATATATAGAATACAGTATATACATAAACAGAATATATATACATAAACACATTTTTTGCAATGATCACTCAAATGTGGTGATCAAACACTTATAATGGTGACAGAGATATGTAAGGGCATTTAACAATTTAACAATAAACTTGCGATGAGTGCGATGCACAAAGTAACGGGGTGTTAGTTGTAACACACGTGGTTTGAATATTTATTTTACCATAGTAACATTTAAATTCTGGCTTAAGTAAATTTTTTATCTCAGTTTTTTTTATTAATTTAAAATGAGACAAATCTGCTATCATTTTAATCTCCAATCTGTTATTTATCAGTTCAGATAGTTTTTTGCAGTGCATGATGGAGCATCTCATCATAAGCATCGAAACTGACAGGGAGGCAGGAAGGGAGGTGAGAGAAAGAAAAATAGTGGTAGAAAAAAGGAGTGTTGATGAAATGATATTGGTTTACCTGTGTGTGTGTAGGGCGTGTGTTTGAGGTCTTATAAGAATGCCGCCTGTGACTCGGAATACAAATGAACAGATCTACAGGAAAAAATGAACTGCAAATGAGAGAAACCTTTGGCTAAGGCGAACCCATAACCCATCAGAGACTTTGAAATCTCTCTTGGACTCTGTGCGAAGGGTTAACTCCAAGGTTTGTATGCCAGAGGGAGCTTGCGGAAGGGGAGAGCTGTATCCTCTTTGACCTTGGCTGGATGTTCTTCTGTTCACTTTGAAGTGTGCTGGTGCGCTCGGTTCGAGGAATCTAAAAACGGGAAAATAAAATGCCCTCATGCTTGTTGTTCTTTATTTTTATTTTTTATTTAAGTTATTATTTTTTTTTTTGCTTGTTTGTTTGTTTTTTGGCTTCAGTGGTAATTGCACGTCTGGGTGAAATCGACAACTATATTTGCAAATTTTAGTGACATAAATTGGTATATTTAGCTTATGTTATATATTAATATATAACATAAGCTAAATATACTTGTTATATATATTTATTTATTTATTTTTTTGTTTTTTCTTCTTCATATTAATATTTTCTCTCTCTCTCTCTCTCGCTCTCTCTCTCTCTCTTTCTATATATATATATATATATATATCATGTCTGTGAGGCAATTCGCTGAGTTTCAGTTCATCATTCAGCACTCCTGTTCGAAACCGAGATGGCAGAATGCGCATCCCCTGTTTTCCTATTTATTTTATAAAAGCACAACGTTTTGTTGATATTGTGAGTGCACACAAATAAAAGTAGACCCTTTACAGTTACGAATGATGTATTACTCTTACCGTTATGAGCAAAAATGACAAAAAGTGTATCCACTAGACTTGTGCCGGTATTCGGTAATGCGATATATCACAGTAATGAATATGCACGATATTGTTATCATGGGCACTTCTAAATACCATGAAGAATTATATATTACAAATTATTTAGAAATACAATTTTGAATACAGAAATATTAAATGATTTATACCTAATATAATATTATACCTAAATATGAAACTGAAACCGCCAGCAGGTCACGGATCACGGATTTTATCACTGAATCATTCATTTAATTGATTCGTTTGAACGGCTAATTCATTCAGGAATGAAGCAAGTGACTGTCTTTATGAATGGGTAATCATAAATCACTGAGTCACTCGATTCGTTCAAAAACGCACTTTCATTCATGAATGAAACACCGCTGTGTTTGCTTTTAGAGATGCGCAGCGGCTGAGCTGTTACTTTATTTGGAACTATTTTCATTGAAGAAATAGAGCAAAATCAGGCAGTACGTGTTTATTGAACTGTTGTATTAAATCAATATCACATTTGCAAACTCCTTGAATAATTATTAAAATCTGTCACTCTCCTTATCGCGATCTGTGGGCGCACAGAAAATGTGAATTCTCTTAGACTCAAAAGTACGTGCAAATGAGTTCCGTCATCTGTCATCACGTTATAAGTGCTGAACCTGCGGGAATGAGTATAATTATTATTAATAGCCGCAATCCTGCGCCTGAAATTCAAGACCTGCTCTGTGTTCTCTGCTAATAACCCGACTGTGAATAGGGATATGCCGGTATCAAGGAGATGTTGTTCATGTATTTATGTCCTCATGTAGTGAGACGACAGAAGCTGAAATCACTGCGAGCGTCACACACTTTGTATGTGTAGAAAACAACACCGCGTGTCTGTTCCATTTACATACACAGAGACATGCAGAACATGCTGGATCCATATTTAAATAGTATTTTTGCGGCTTAATATTTATAGATCGCTTTCGGAGTGAGAGTGAATTCGGCATTGATTGGACTGACTCATGACTCCCAACAAATCAGATGAGCGGTGGGCGGAGACTGCTTTGGGCCACAGAGTGGTGATGATTTGAGAATGCTAAATTGATCAAACATAGGCTCACTGTCTGCCGCTGGCCGCTTGGTCGTTACTTTAACGACAGTTAGCCCCCCAGCCCCCGAAAACGCCGCCTATGCGTAGAACATGGGCAGACATTATGCAAATGTGTTACTTCGTGATGTAGAGCCGTAACAGAATAAGATTCGAATTCCTGTTGACTCGTTTAGGCGATTGCAAGCCGACTTTTTTTTTTTGATAGACAATAACTTTATTTATCGTGCACTGTCGGCTTCACAACTTTGCAGATAGTTTATGTTCACATACAGCTACATGGCACACTGCATGAAAGGTGATATTCGAAAAGGCATAACAGGGGCACTTTAAGATTAATAGGCTTATTATTATAGTACACAGTTGTATGTTGATTCCACTAACTATTGTTTGAGGATCTTGGCCCCTCACAACACACTAACGCTGGCTCAGCCAATAGCGTGAGTTTTGGACGGGGCTATCTGTTTGCCCGACCAATGGCTGACGGGGAGAGTGTTTGGGGGAATCCTTGAGCGTTTAACGCAGCTGTGAATGACTCATAAGCGGGTTTAACTGGGCTGTGTCTCAAGACCTAATCATCTGTCTACTGAGATCGCGATTTTTATCAGTTTTATAGTTTGCTGCAGCATTAAAATAAGAAGAAAATCCTGTCTCCGTAGGCAGCTCAATAGATTTTGAGACACAGCCCTGCTCTGGATTGTGAAATGATCTGCGGCTTAATGTGGTCGAGCTGTCTAACTAAATTAGGTCATGCTGCTGTAAAATCGAGCTTAACAATTCCGCTGCTGTCCAAAATAACATTTAACAGCTAAGAGACCACAGGGAAGAGTAAAGTAAATTAAAAGCCTCGCTAATATTTACAGACAAAGCGAGAACAACATCGGGGTAAATGGAGGCGGCTCAAGGCCAATGAAATAATCTCGCCTCACCATTCAGACAATAACAATCCATCAGCGTTAGTACATTTACCTTATTGATTTCCTCCAGTTTCTCCCTCTGCTGTGCTTTGAGTAACCCGAAGGCTTTTCCGCCTGAAAAATGAGGCATAGTGACCATTACACACCCGTCTGGATGTTTTACACAGGCTGTCTGGTGCACTTGCAGGCATGAGATAATGACAGTCGGCCGCTAACGGCACACACGCGCGCACAGAACAAAAACAGGCTTCGCGCGGATAACCGTAAATACAGCATCAGTTCACTAAAAACAGACCGGCGACAAACGATATACCTTGTAAATCCAGGTTGGAAGGCATGCTGGGACGGTCGAGAGGTGGTAATGAAGGAAGAGAGAGGAGAGACACCGATGTAGATGACTGCTCGCGACGGTTATGCGGGAGAGAGGGAATCTCACGCTGCTTGGAGGCGCAGGTCTCCGTGATGCACTCGCTGCTCGCCAGGAATGCAGCTATAAACGCCACCGTGCGGCGAAGAGAGGTAATGCAGGCCGACGTGACTGAAAAGGGAAGCGTTCTGCCAGCCAATGCTTTTATTATATATAAAGCTAGCTATTTGTAATTTAATAAGCCATATATACGCCTATATAACGCCTTCAGCGTCCCAACCGTGCTCAACTCCACAATGTAGTGACTATTTAGTCAGTTTTGCACATATCATATTGCACGCACAACTGTTTTTTTTAACGTACTCCTATCTTATCTTTCTCATCGTTTAATTTTTTAACTTAGAAACATTTCATTTCCTGTAATTTCTGTTGCACGCCTCATTTAGCTAGTTTTGTACATTTCATAGCTATTGTATTTCACAGTTGCGATTTTGTTTTTTACTTGTACACTCTTATTAGAATGCATATTAGGCTACTAGTTTTTTTCTTTTCCCCTATCTTATCGTTCATCATCTTAACATTTAATTGTTAGCTCTCAGCTTAGGCTATCTGTGATTTTATCTCTGCTTTGGATCTGCAAGTCATGCCCAACAACGTGCCCCTCAGATGTTACAATGTACCCCACCTACGGGGCATGTTGTCACATTTCACTTCCATTTTTTGAGGGTAAATAAAGAAAAACGTATACACTGTAATTATGAAACAAAGCGACATATTTGTACTAGACAAGTGTAAAACTACCGTGGATAAAAAATATATATTCTGAACCCCATGTGGATTTACACAAACTGAGAAAGTCAAAAAGTGTTACTTTGTGCCCCGGTCTCCCCTATAGTTTTGTAACTAGAACTGTTAGTGATTACTGATAATATACAAATATGACAGTTGTTATGAATTCAGGTTTTTGTGATGCAATATGGATGTGTATTATAGTGTGAAGTGTTCAGTCTGGTTGTCTGTTTTTGACAAATGGTTCCCTTTGTATTGAAATAAAAGTTAAGCAAAGTGTCTCTAGTCTTGGGTTCAATGGGGTTAAGAACATTAAAAATGTACTAGGCTCAGAGAACAGATCAAAAGCTCCATTTTTCACAGGAACCAGCTAATACAACAAGCCATCAAAACTGAAGACAAGCAAATAATGGGCCACGCATGCATTCATGTTGATAATATATCCCAAATAATGGAACATTTCAGCTATTCATAGCCAATTCCTTTTGTGACTATTATTTACGAACAGATGGATAATAAGCACAAAAATAAATATTTAATATGCCATGTTAGATATTAAATAAGTAATAAGTTGCAAGTCAACAGGCTCACAAGTAAACACACACTGATGCTCATAATGCATGATCACACTCTTGAGAACAGCATGACACGATATGTTTATTTGGTCTTGATTTACTCACTTTAAAATCAAATTTATACTTTTCAAACTCGTGTGCAAGACATTGTGTACAACAAACAAATGAATTTGAGTAGATGGCTCCCTCAAGTGGCCAAAAGAGACCATCTCTTGTCAGGTACTACCATTAGTTAAGGTTAATGGATGGGAAAATTGCATGTTACTAAAGTACATTGCATGCGAACTTCATAATGTCAGTCTGCACAACATTAATATTTAAGCATAATGTCAATGTGATCATCTTTGGAAGCCCAATAAAGATCACTGACATTTTGCTTGAAAACTGATGATTTCAGTTCAAACTCAAAGTGCTACAGTGTATAAATGCCATCAATTGCATTTTGACTTTTTACCAGTAGAGTAAATAAGTAAAGCCACTCTGTATTCACAACAAATGAATGTTTATAAAGAATTTACATTTGAATGTGTCATTAATATGTTCAGTATTGCTTTTATAACAAGCCGAAGCTGAAAGAGGAATGGAGAGGGGGATTTCAGAGGTTTGTTTCCTTTTTTTGTTCTTCAGCTTCCCTTGATCCAGATGTTCTGAGGCGACTAACTCCTTTGAGCTACCTCAATGTCTCTCTAAAAGACTAGATAACTGATAGACTTCTTCCTCCCCCCCCCGGCTTAGTGCCCTTTTTGTGGGCATGTTTTAGGCAAGTTCTGGGCGATGTCTGTCAGACTGTCTCTTTCTTCTCGTATCTCCTGCAGGCTCTGTTCAAGATTTTGCAGCTGTTTCTCTTGATCATGCGCAGCACTGTGGAGCCTCTGAATCTTTCCGGTGAGAGATGGACTCTCCACAGCACCCTGGAGAACACGAAGACGGGCTGCAGTCTCATTCAGGATGCGATCATAGTTCTCCAGCACCACATTAGCATCTGCTCACATCAATGGGAGAAGAGTATGATTTTGAGAATATTGCTGGAGGAATACTTTTGTTCCATCTTTTAAAAAACATAAAAATGACCAAAAAAAAGAAAACAAAAACAAAAAAGTCCTTATCCTAGGTATAGGGTTGCAGGGAAAATAAAATAATAAAATAAAATAGTGCTGTCAATCGATAAAAAAAATTAATTGCATGTTTTTTTTTTCCTGAAATTAATCACGATTAATCCCACCTAACAAAGTTTTTAAATCTACTTTTATATTGCAATAATTTTACATTCAATCTTCAAATTAATGTAGAAACAACATGAAGACTAAATATTTGTTTAATGGCATCTCTTTTATGACAGAAGGCCAGTATTCACTGATACCAATACTACTGATATCTCTAGGAAATTGTTTTTTCCCCCCTAATATTTAACCATTGACTAAATGTAATGTTGACTATACTAACATAACAGTATAACTGAGAGCTATTAATTTTATTAGCTCTTTTTATTGGACTTTCAAAAATAACAACTTCTTATTTAAGTGAACTTAAAATCTTCTCACAAACCCATTATAAATTCCATATTTACCTGTGCCCTTCAGCAAGTAGGAAATATACAGAAATTGAATAAAGTTATCAAACACTAAATTCAAAATTAAATATAGATTAATCCTTAAAGCTACAAAAGTTATCGATTTCCTCTTTTTTCTTTTGTTCTTTGATTAACAGATATCACAGCAGCTGGTTTATTAGGTTATTTGGCTGACACACTGACATACGGTATGACAACATCTCATCTGACCGCAGTTCATGGTTATTCTACTGAAGCTCCTCGTCAACTGTACTGTTTCCGCGCTCGTTTGACCAATGCCTGGCACTGAGGCGAAGTGGGGTGTGTGTCTCTCTGAAATGTCTCCTGTTTGATGTGGTTGTAAAGATGTTCTGCGTCTAAATAAACGCAATTCTTGTCAAGGAAAAAGAGAGACACAGCAGTTGTGAGTGGGTTGGCCAACCCTAGTTCCGTCCCTGTGTAGTTTGCGATAAATATTTTTAACACCGATAAACTGGAAAAATTAATCACCTGCGTTAACGTGCTAATTGTGACCGCTTTAAAAATAAAATAAATTAAAATAAAATATTGAATTTACCCAGTTGTTTAAGGAGCAGAGTTAGCGTGTTTGTAAAGGACTCCAGCTGACTCTTGGCTGTCTCCATGCTGTCTATCACATTCCTTGAAGAAAGCTGGATGTCCTGAGGAGAAATGGCACATCAGCATCGTGGCTATGCAAAAACAACCTCCTCGGTCAACTAATCTGGGGTGCTTTTCCCAAAAGCAACTATGGTCGCAAGTTCCGTCGTTACCAATAGAGTTCAATGGAACTTACGACCATAGTTAGCTAACGATGCTTTTGGGAAACACACCCCTGGACTTTACAGGTAAGTATCATGTTTAATAATTTTCTTTGATCTAGTCTTTCTCTGGAACATGTACTGCAGTGTCTCAAACCCCCTAAACAGAACGGCAGTACTGAATGTCCTGCAGAAGTCTGTGTTCTAATAATAATGACATTGAGGTCCTAGCCAACTGGACAAACATTGGCAATTCCACTATCAAGTTAATGCCAAATTGTTTACCTCTGCCTCCATGGTTTTCTGTTTCTGTGAAGCTTGGCTTTCCAGCTCAGTCAACTGCTCCAGGGTGGTGTCCACAGCTGAACGCAACTGTCCAGATGCATGTTTTGTCCATTTCCCCTGCGTGAGGGACACTTTGGCATCCTGTCATGAATAACAGCATAACAGGGCTTTCAGTTCCCATCAGTTCTTGCTTCAGTCCAGGATCCTCAAGGCAATGCAGTCTTTATACACTTAGGATCTGATTTGACTAAATTGCCTTTCAAAGTTCTGTTATACACAACGTCTACAATCACAATTTGTTTAACAGAATGAATTATAGCGTAACAAAACTTTACTGAGAAATACTTCGATTCAATGCCTTTGAGAAAAGTATTTCTTATTTGCATCATTCAGACAAAGAAACTTTAGCTGAACAGGACTGATAAATATAACCACTTTTGTTTTTTGAATACATGTGTGCTTCAGCATAACCTACTTTAGCCACTGCATCTGCAGACTCCTGGGCTTGTTTAGCTGTGCTGCTCACAGCCGTAGCGTTCTCCACTGCAGGCTTGATCATTCTCTCTGTCTGCTTGACTCTTTTTTTCACATCCACCAGGGTCTTTTCTTTCAGCAACTTCTCTCTCTTCAGATGTCCTTTGCTGTATGTGGGCAGTTGAGGCCAGTCTTGCTCCATGACTACAGCAGAGAACATTTTTACAATGCAGAGTACATTATCACAACATTTTCACATTTCCATTCCATTATACACTACCATTCAAAAGTTCTTATGCTGACAAAAACGGCATTTATTTTATCAAAATACAGCAAAAACAGTAAAATTGTGAAATACTATCACAATTTAAATGAAGTGTTTTCTATTTTAATACGTTTTAAAAGCTGAATTTTCAGCCAGTCTTCATTGTCACGTGATCCTTCAGAAATCATTCTAATATTTGCTTCTCATGAAGCATTTATTAGTATTATAATGGTGAATACAGTTGTGCTGCTTAATATTTTTGTGTAAACTATATTTTTTCAGGATCCTCTGATGAATAGAATGTTTGAAAGAACAGCATTTATTTGAAATAGAAAATGTAGATTATAAATGTCTTTATTGTCACTTTAATGCTTTCCAAAAAATAAAAAAAAATCTTATTGACCCTAAAATTTTTGAATGGTATACCATTCTGCTGCTGTATTTCTCACAGTCTTCA